TCAATCGCGGGCCCCACTTTGCAGCGTGCAGCCGAGACACCCAGCAACTCTGCGATAGACTCCCGGGTCGCCGCCTCTGAGGCGCCTCAAGCTGCGAGCGCTCGCGAGCGCTTGGCCGGAACCTCTGAGCTTTGCGCGTGGCCAGCCTTGGCAAAATAGCCTCGGTGAAGCGCAAAGACCTTTGCGCCACATCACCTTGATTTCATCCCATTCTCGTAGCGTACCGATACACCCAACTGGTCCACCTTGGGTATAATTCTGCATGTATCAGCTGAAACATGGCAACTCGTCAGCACCGTGAAGCGGGTTTAGAGCGCCCTTTTCTGTGTTCTTTCGCATCAGGTCCCGGCGATCTGATCCGCTCTCGCAGCTTGCCAGCACAGGCTCGAGCCTACCAAGGCGACAAACCATCAAAAGGCCTCGTGGCAGAATTCTTATTGGGTCCTCCGAAGAGCACTTTGCAATTGTTGTTCTTGATACTGTAACTTCTCAAACGCACCCCGAATGCTCATACAACGTTTTGCAGCACATCGAAATTCTTCAAATACTTGACATCCAACCTTGATGACTGAGGCTTTCTCTTGCTGGCATCCGTGATCAGAAATACTTGCGGCCATTGCTGCGTGGTTCAAGAATTGCCCCGAGACAATTGCTGGGCAAGGGCCATTCTTGCCGCTGCCTGCACAAAGCCGTGGAGCCGAAGCTGCCGCCCGAGGCCAAAGGGTTGCCTGGACACATCCGCTGCTTCAAGCAAAAACCTCAGCCAATGTCTTTGCAAGCATGCTCAGCGGCGAAGGACAGCAAACTCTGGGAGCGTCCTCGACAGTGTGGAGCGTTGGGATGTGGTGTGCACGGCCTTGGCGGTGGGCCCGTGCCCAGATTCAGCCAACTCAAGCCCATCACCACGCCATAGACCGAAAACAAGATGCCCCAATTTGGCCCTCAACCTGCAACCTGGCGGACCTGGCCCTCTTGAGATCCCCAAAGCAAATCCGAAGCATCTTGAGGCAAGCAGCTTTCTTTCGCGGCTTGGCCACCTTCACCTTCGAACGAGCGCCTGAAAAAAACCTTGCTGAAGCCTTGAATGCTACGACTGCGCGCCTGCAAAGTGGCCTTGTGCAAGTCCGGCTCAATTTTCACCTGGCAAGGGGAAACTCACCCGCTGAACGCGCATGCAAGCAGATTGCTGACAATGCTGGTGCCAGCAGTGCTGCTGTTGCTGGAGATATGCTGCGGGTGGCGCTGCCGTTGATGCTCACGCTGCTGCTGGTGCTGTTGGGGAGTGATGCTGTGCAACCCTAGATGTTTCCAAACCCAGGTCGCAAAATGAGATACAGTTCTAGCTGAAAACCAAGCAAGCATGATCCCCTTCGCCTTCCTTCTGGCCGTCTCGCATTGCGCAGCAGGGCTCCACTTGCAGGGGGAACCTTTGCATCGGATTCTGATGCTCGCGACTTGGGGTTCTGGTGGTTGGTGGTGTGGGTGAGATTCGTTGTGGGGTTGAAAGCTAGGCTGACCGTCCTCCAAATGGGAACACCGAAACACAAGACATGTAGACCTCACACCAAAAATTTATGAAGGCCATGTCAAATCACCGCAAAATGTTTGCCGTTTCCGACTGCCCTCTGGGGCCAACGCTGGAGGTGCTCAGGTCCTTACACGAGTTCATGGCAAGAACTTCGCCATCCGATTCAAAGTGTCTTCAGGTTCAGCGGCTGGGTGTTGGATTCAAGAAGCTCCTCCCAATAGCCCATACTTTTTGAGCTCCTCTTGTTGGAGGGTGGGGTGAACACCACGCCTTTGTACTCCCACTTTCTTCAGAGTCAAGCGGCAATCACGGAAGGCGCCACCCACAGAATTTCAATTTCGTCCTGTCCGAATCATACAAAAACTAGCAAGCAGATTCTCTGAATGCTGCTGGAGCTTCAACCAAGGGCAAGCCGCAACGGTCAAGGAACCATGCGCCTCTATTGGAGAGCCGGCGCTTGCCACCTTCGGAGCAGTCTTGCAGATCCTCAGCACACATGCATGGTTGTGCGAATTGTAGCACAGTTCGCAAGCACTCTGACATCTGAAGTAACCAGAGTCACAAGTTATTGCGTAAGGCCCGTAAGGCTATCAAATGCCACACAAGTCGCCAAGGAAAAATGTATGCAGCCCAGAAAATAGCCAAGACGCTTTCCGGTGCAGCACGTCAATGACGCTAGAGGGCGTTCCTGATTCCGCGCTTGTCGACAACCGAAGGATCGAATCTCGAAAATGCCGCAGCCCAGAATCCCGTGAACAAGCAACGCACGAACAACCGCCAAGCAAGCAAAATGCACTGGACATGGATTCTAAGAGATACCAAGCCACATCCTCACTGCTGTGATCATCATCTATCAGCAACACATTGGCCTGTCGCAACATGTGTCTGGAGCCAACTGCGGGCGCACACACAAACACACACGTGATCCGCGTGTCTCATTCTGGCTGAATGACAAGCCCTGGTGGGGGCATCAAAACTCACACAAAGCGCGACTTCATTCAAGATGCAGATAAATCAAGAACATGTGGGAACAGGTGGGAAGGGTGATTGCAAGAGCAGAAATTGCACAACAAATTCGTCGGTCAGCCTCAGGCTACTTTCATGCCACTCTCCAGTCCCGCGTGCGAAGCGCTACATTATGCACATTGCAACAAGCAAGCGCCGTCAGAATCTTGATCACTGCTTCAATCCGAAAGGGAACAAGCGGCAAAACATAAAAGAGTACGACCGACAAACATGTGCGCATGCTCTTTTTCTTTATAAGGCGTTGCTTGGAAGTAAAGGCTCGGGGGTGCAGGGGGAAAAACAGCGCGTGTCCTTTCCCCGTGTCTGCACCCCTCTGCGGAGCCTTCTCAAATGCCCCCGCGGTCAACAATGCGTGTTCGACCAGGCGCCAGGTGTGTTACCTGTGAGGCGTGAAACAATCGAAGGCATTGGTGGCGGCAGGATGCAATGCATGCATCCGGCTGGCGTGCCATGCACGGTGCCAGGTTGAGACCTGTCGAAACAGTCATGTGTTGGCAGGATGCAACGCGTGCATCCGGCTGGTGTGCAATGCGGCACACGGTGCCAGGTAGAGACCTGTCGAAACAGTCACTGCATGCTGGGGCATGCTGTGCACAATGCCTCCGGGGTGTCAGCTGCGGCTGGGCCCTGGAGGTTGCAATGCGTGCATCTGGTTCGTGCGCAACGCGGCACACGGTGCAAGGTTGAAACTTGCGGCCACTGCATGCAGCGGCATGGTGCGCACAGTATCTTTGGGGCGCCAGCTGAGGTGGGACCCTTAGGTGGCTTGAAGCAGAAAACGGCAACGCGTCCGAAGATTCGATCAAGATTAAAACATAAGGGAAAAGGAAAACCCTAAACGTTAGAATCTTGATCACCGCTTCAATCCGAAAGGGAACAAGCGGCAAAACATAAAAGAGTACGACCGACAAACATGTGCGCATGCTCTTTTTCTTTATAAGGCGTTGCTTGGAAGTAAAGGCTCGGGGGTGCAGGGGGAAAGACAGCGCGTGTCCTTTCCCCGCGTCTGCACCCCTCTGCGGAGCCTTCTCAAATGCCCCCACTTCAGGGTTCCAAGCAGACGGCCTAATCTATCACCCCCTCTTCAGAGCGTTTGCGAAGCTCTCTTATGCTCCGGTCGCCATGGGGCGTCGGGCGGATGCAATGACAGCATGCATTTGTGGGGCCAGAAATCATGCGGGCGAAAACGAAAGCGAGCTTGCGGCTTGCTGTCGAACGCGGATGTGTTTCCGCGGCTGAGCTGATCAGCCCACACGTTGCGCTCGCCTGGGATGTGCGAGGCTAGTACTGACCATTTGTGCTTGTAGGCCCATGCGGCGACCAATTGCACAAAAATTTGCTGTGGCGAACAGCTTGTTCACTCCGGCTCTGATGCGGTATTGTCTGTACCGGAGGGCATGCAGAGGCCGTGCACTGCTTGGCCCTCGGCGGTCCAAGCGATTCGCATGAGCACGAGCTGGGCCAAGGCTTCGAAGCACGCTATGTAGCGTTGGGCCTCCTTGGTGAGGCAAGGCCACTGCTGGACTTCCTGGAAGTCCCATGTTTCTGCGAACCATGAGACGGAGCGGCTGGATATGAACCAGCCGCCTATTCCGACTTTGGTGCCTTCGGCACAAGCATCGGCGGCTGCTTTGCTTGCTTTGCAGCGCGCATGCCAAGTCTGCCTGAAAACATTGAAGGAGCCACTCGATGTTAGCCCTGCTTGCTGTGGACAAGCAAGTGTGCTTGGCAGGGGTCGGCTATGCGCACCCATGCCGGCTTGTGACTGGGCACGACGCGAGGCAAGTCGGAGGGGCTGCGTACTGGGGCTTGCTGGTATTCTAATACCCTGGAGCCGAGCGGCATAAAGATGCCGTGCGCGGGCGAGGCTAGTACGGCTTTGGCGTTCAGCGCCGAAAGGAATGCAGGCCACAGGCGTGCGTTCACTGAGATCATGCATCCCGGCGGCGAGCGCAGATCTGCATATAAGGGCGCAAGCCAAGATCGCAATTCCAGACTTAGGCTGGTGGCCCAGATGAGCAGCCCCAGGACTTGCTCCAAAAGCTTTCTTTTGATTCTTTTGGATCGAGCAATGCGAACAGCTGCTCTTTCAGCTTCAGGGTTTTGAGTGGAGTGAGTTCAGTTGTTTCCAGGCTGAAGTTGATTGACCATCCGCACAAGTCAGGCAGTTTGGGAATTGCACTTTTTTCCAGGAAATGGGCGCACTGATGGCTGCGAAGAATATGACAACTAGCGCCACTTGCTGATGCGCGTCTGGGCGGCGCAGCGTGGCCAAAAGGTCATCCACAAACAACCAAGCTCTGTGCGGGTGTGCTGACAGGACGCCGTGTAGCAGTCTGGGCAAGAAAGCTCCTGTTCGTTGCCACCAGTATGCTGGCACACCCGGTAATGGCACAAAGTGTCTGCGAAGCGAAACAGGAGCAAGCCATGTTCGCTAGGGTGTACCTGAATTTGCTTGCGCGCGGCTTTAAAATCAAAACTTGCGCCTATGAAAGAAGCACGCGCGTCTTTTCCTTCTCCATGCACAACATTGAGTTTGCCTACTGCAATGCGTTATTCCAACGTCGCCTAGCCTGTTCGATGGACATCTCTGTGCGGACAACCACAGTGTCGGGCTCTGCTTCGGCGGCTTTCCAGTTGCCCATGCATTCTGTGAGTTCGTGAGGTAGGTCTGCATGCTCTTTGAGCGGCCACTGCGTGCTATTCGGATAGGGCTCCTGTGGGCACACCTTCGGAGAGCAAGGGAAGGAGTTTGATGTCCGGGTCATCCGACGCGGTGGCCAGTGCGTGCAACAGTGACAGCCGGTGCGGCTGACCGTTGTCGGGAGCCAGACTGGTTGGGGCGGGCAGGTTTTGTCAAGAGACGGCAAGGTGACGTCCCGTGGGACGCTGTGCACCGAACCCTCAAGCTTCAATACCAACCACGTAGAAAGGTGTATACGGACGATGCCGTTATAGCCGAACCCGTGTAAACGTTGTAAGGAAGATGGAATGATAGTTACACCAGTAGTCCTGACAATGCAGCGCAAGCAGTTGTTTTGCTCTTATCGCCCGTCACGAATGTTCGCAGTCACACATCAGATCTTGAACCTCAATTGTGTCTTGAGCCAAATGGCGATCAATGGAACTTGGGAAGCAACACCAACAAGGACCTCAGAACAGCTACCCAATTTCGGCACGGGGCCTAGAGGGTTTTAACATCCCCCATTTGGGTCGCATTGTTCATCATGCGGTCCAAACACCACAAAACGTTCCACTGGCCACGGCTTCAACTACGAAATCGTGTCGTGCATTCTTTTACTTGCTATCACTACACCGTTCATTCGCTGTGAAACATGCCGGGTTCGATTGTACGAAAAGTGAAACATTCATCCTCCAATCGAAGCACACATCCATATGCAGGTGTATATAATACACTGTGGCCACTTCACTTGACCGCCAGTGAACATTCCAGCTGCCGCATTTGCGCATCGCGCAGCTGTCATCCATAAATGGGTTGGCCACAAAAGTCCACCAGACGCGCCCGCTTGTGATCGGTCTGCATATCTCCGGCAAAGAAACATCGGTGAGTAATCAATGCAAATCATAGCCATTCCAGATACCATGGACAATGCATAAATAATGAAAAGATATCATCTATAAGGTAATAGTTCCATCCATGAATATCCAGAGCGTCATAGTCGTCGGAATATGTAACCATGTACACATCCAATCATCTTGGACACATGAATATAAATCATGACGTAAGTCGTTCCACCATAACAGTGTCGATGTGACGCAAGTAACAGATGGGGACTGGCCCACATCGTACCGCAATCATCATCTTCACGAAGCATACCTGTCCCCAATGGACAGCCTATGGGTACGTCGGCGGAACTCCTCGTCCAAGTTCTTCTGGGCTTCTCGTGCCCGGACACACTTCTTGTTGTAGTCCTCTGGCAACCAGTGCCCTTTCCGAAGGCACCAATCCAGCAGGGGTGTGTCGCATTTGTTCGGGTCGATGGCCGAGATGATGGCGCTCACGTTGACCGTGTAACCATTCTTGCCAAGGTTTAGGCCATCCCTCACGAATGATATATACTTACAGTTGAAAGCTAGTGCAAAACATCTGAAAATAATATCACCCACCGGGTGCACTCGGTCCTTGACCAGGAGCTTCATTTCTTCCTTGGTGACATCGAGGATTCTCGCTGCAATCCACAGCTTGTAGAATGTGTATAGTCCCTCGCATTTGTTCACCATCATACGAATATATTCGTCACGCTCCTCAACCGATCGGAAGGCTCTTGTCCGAACATTCTCCGATTGAGAAATCTTCAGTGTTGTTGACGGCAAAAGTATACCTTCCTGATCGTGCTCAGTGATGTTGGGGTACCTCCTGAAATCATTGTGATAAGGGCAGCCCGGATTCCCTTCGAGTCCGGCATTCATCGTTCTCTCCTCACCACCTTCAAACATCCCCCACATCTTGGACAGCTGGAGTGCGATAAATCCTGCCATGTACTGAGCCTCACGCGGCTCGTCAAGGCAGATCGCCATCCGTTGGGAACTTATAATGTCCCGTGACGTCAGATCGGTGTCGCGGTAATGCCAACCGCCGTCTTCTTCTTCTGACGCATAGCCGGATGTATATCCTTGCGTGTCCATGTCGTCATCTTCTCC